TTGGGACATGGTTCAGTCTGGTCTACCCTTGATTGGTTTAGTGTGGGCTTGGCAGTGTAGGTTAATGGTTGGACTGGATGATCTTAAAGGGCTTTTCCAACCTAAACAATTGAATGATTCTGATGAAGGCAGGTCCTACAGGTAACAGCCCGAAAGCAGGGGTGGTATTGCTTGCAAACCCATGGGTGACGCTCCTATCCTGGTACGCAGACCAGGGAACCAGAGGTCTAAGAACTTTCAGATTAGAAGAAAAACAGTCACACAGCTCTAATGAAGCACGTCACCCCAGGCACAACAGTGGACGAGGTTATTCCGCTCATCATCCGTGTCTCACTGCAACTCCTACCTCCCCTCTTCTGCTCAGCTGGCGAAGCTCTAACTGCTGGCTGCGTCTGGGCTGGGCGCGCTGGGCAAGGCAGGATGTCTTCTGGGGGACCTGCACGCCGCTGTGCAAAGAGCTGCTCAAGGACGGTGCTGCTGCCAGCCAGTGTTTGCAGAAAGGGTTTCCTCCCTGCCCACAGCGCCTAGAGATGAAAGGTTTTGTGGACCAGCACCTAAGGTGCTGTGGTCTGTGGCCATGGTCCCATCCAGACAAGCACTGCAGCAATTCCAAGAATGCGAAGCTGAAGTGGGGCCCGAGATAAGCCTGTGCACACAACAGAGCTTTTATCTGCCTCAAGGCTAGTCTTTTCCCGCTCCGCATTCGTTACACTGCGAGTAGTTCACAGCCACTTGTTCCAGCCTTAAGACCGTTTCTATCTCTTTGTCCTTCTCCAAATCTTTAGCTAATCGTCCTTTAGGCCAACTCATTCCCGCCTGCCTCCTGGCCCTTCTTCCCCGCCAGCCCTCTCCGCAGCAGGCTCAGCTATCCCAGTCCTAGCCCCTTCCCAGCTCCTATTGCTTCCCTGGAGAAGCAGCACTCGGCATGACACCCCAGCAGCGGTGACACCTGCCCAGCGGCATTCTGATCCTTGCAGCCACCGGCTCTTCTCTGCTGGCGACCACAGGCTTCAGCGGAGACCGGGGCCAGCTCCGGAGCAACGCGCGGCCCGGGCTGGCTCTTGCTGAAGCGTTACAAAAGTCGAGGCCCAGGCGCAGTTGAGCCACAGCGAGCGGGGGCTGCGGCTGGAGCC